ATAGTGCTTTGAAAAATGTAACGTATTACACAAATGCAAGCTGACACTCATTTTCTTCTTAGTATTGCCGTCATCTCCAAACAAGTTTGAGTTAGTAGAGAGGAGCTATGAAAGTGTTTGTGGTTTGCTTTTGTGATATTATATGGTTCTTTCTCCAAGTAGCAAACGCTTTAGAGGTTTTTCTAGTATCTAAGCAACATGTTGTCTCCATTTAGCCCTGAAAAGTCCTGAATTGAAAATAGACTCTGTTTTGCCATGTTCTGAAATCTAGAGCTACTATATGTTTTAAAGGCGTCAAAGGTCCCCCTTGGAGCTAGAAGGGATGGTGATCATCACGTCCAGCACTTTTAGAGCACATCTGAAAAGCCATGCGGAGAAAATTGCAGGGGCTGAGTGCGTGCGTTGAAGGTGCGGCCTCACTGCAGACTCGCTGGTCTGGTGGTGGCATCCCTGAGGAAGGAGGAGGGGCTGGTGGCTCCACGTTTGCAGGGAACGAACTGCTGGTTCTAGAAGAGCAGCCGCCAGCACTACACACAGAAGTTTCTTTGTCGTCATCATGATTTACTAATCTTGTCAGACGCTCCAGGTAGCGTTGCAGTTTTACAGTTTTACAGCACATCTTGCTCAAGAGGGGTTTTGTTGAAAATGCTATGGCACCACCCATCTGCCTGTGTGCCTAATGTCCAATGGGAAAGTGTCAGGTGATGGTGACTTGAGAAACCACGTAACACAGTGAATACAATCAGATGTTTCCATGAAGTAGACTAGATGCTTTTGAATCATACTCTAATGCATCAATGCTGAAGTGTTTAATAGCACGTGGAGATGGGGAGGAGGAAAACTTGTGGCATCATTCCTCCAGTGGCAGCAAAGTATCTCCTGTTTATACCTCCCCATGTTACTAATAGGGACGTTAATGATGGTGATTATACTGGTTTACTAAGTGGCTTACAAGTTTTCTTTAGGCTTACCCATCGTTGGGTATGATTAGAAGCAAATAAAATATTTTATTCCTATTTCATCAAAAGGAATGGCTCCCACAGACCTGCTTCCTTTGCTGAGGTCAAACTGCCAGACTTAAAAGAGAACTTCTGACCTTGATTCTAGGCTCCTTTTGGGAAAACAGACATGGAAGCAGCAAGGGCTTTGCAGCCAGACTCTGCCACATGCTAGCAATGTGACTGGGGCAAGTCACTTCACCTTGCTGAGCCTTAAATCCCCACCGGTAAAGTGGGTGCGATTGTCACTATTCTTGAGGGTCCTTGAAAAGGTTAAATGAGTTCAGAGATTCTGACATTAGAGGCAGCAGTGTACTTGTTTATAACTTGCCCTCTGGAGCCAAACTCCCCAGCTATGAGTCCCAGCTCCACCTCTTCACTAGCTGTGTGACCTAGTATAAGTCACAAACCTTCCTGAGTCAGTAAAATGGAAATAATGACAGTACGTACCTCATAGGGTCATTGTGAGGATAAAAGAGTTAATATAACCAAAGCCTTAGAACAGCGCCTGCCAGTTAGTCAACACTCTTTAAGTATATGCTATGATTATGACGGATTGTGATCATAATCATCCATGTATCAAGTGCCTGGCACAGATAGTTGATCAAAAAAGATTGACTGTTACTACAATTTCTATTATTTCTCCCATTGGAGCCCTTGAATTTTAAGGAGGCTGAAAGGAAAGTAATACTATTACAAGTCTGTTTTTTGGTTTAACTAAACAGATGTCAGCGGAGTCCTTTCCAAAATCTTGTTCCTTCAGGAACTCAAAATTTAATTTTATGCCATAACAGAAAGATTTTTTTTCGGTGTTCCTAAGAGCAAGACCAAATTCTTGAGCCTCACCCCAGACCTTCTGAATCAGAAACTGTGGGGATGCAACCCATCAGTCTGTTTTTGCTTTTGTTTTTCAATGCTCATTGACTTTTTTTTAGAGTAGTTGTAGGTTAACAGAAAAATTGAGAGGCATGTATGAGATTGCCCATATAACCCCCTGCCCCAACACATGCACAGCCTCCCCCGTTATCAACATCCCCCACCAGAGCGGTGCATTTGTTGCAGTTGATGAACCTGCATTGACTCATCATAATCACCCAAAGTCTATAGTTTACATTAGGTTCACTCTTGGGTTTAGACAAATGTTTAATGACATGTCTCCTTCATTGTAGTATCATACAGCGTGCTTTCCCTGCCCTGAAAGAGCTGTGCTCTCCCTCTTCATCCCTTCCCTCCTTCAACCCCTAGAAACCACTGATCTTTTTACTGTTTCCATAGTTTTGCTTGAAGTCTATTTTAACAAGTGTCCCAGTGATTCTCATGCTTTCTCAAGTTTAAAAACAACAGATACAGACTCCTACAACTTTGACCTCCTTCTGTCGCTGGGGGTGGGGGGTCAACAAAGAATTGGCACTCTATCTGGAACGTTGACAGGTGTTCCAGCCCAAGAAGTGTTAAATTACTGAATTAAGCAGAAACACAGGTAGGTCTGGAAAGCAGACTCAGGGTAGGATCTGGAGGGGGAAAAGCGCTTTGAGAGCCTGTGAATCTGTTGATAAGTCTGGAACAGAACGTTCTGGGGTGTTGGGTCTTCTGCAAAGTCCTGGTGTCATATCTTGTGCCATACTGCTCTGAGTGATGGATAGGAAAAGAGATGGCTTTTGAATTTTTATGTGAGGTTAAAATGAGAAAAATCCATTTCAGCCTTCAGAAGTCAAAGCTATTGGTACAAAAGGTCATTGGTGCCAACTGGCGGCATCGCAGAGCTCAGAGAGGGAGTATTAAAATAGCAAACTTGTTTTTTAAGCACTAGTTGCACTATGGGCTTGAGTCTCAGTCTTTTGCCATCTTGCTGCCCTGGAATCTTAAGTAAAAAGGCATGTGAAAAAAGAAAAGCACTAAGATGTTTTCCCACCTCCTGCAGGGAGGGGGTGGGTAGTTGTCCTCAGACTAAGGGTGACGTAATATTTGCAGTAGAGCAAGCAAAGTGATTGAGTGACTCCATGGGAAAGCGACTGTTACTAGTTGTATAGTGGAGGTCACTGAGCAATACTGATTGACCTTGCCCATTTCGGGTGAAGTCAACATGGGTTTATTGGGGACCTAGCCCTGTGCTAGATGTGGTTTGTTTGGGGTTCAATCTTGAGTGACAGAGGATTACAGTGCCTTGGGAAAGAAAACCAGTCCTGGGGGTGGAGTGGAAAGGTTGTAAGATATTAAGTTTGGTTCGGTATGTACTATGTTTGTGAGGATAGAAAAGCATTGAAATAGGTTTAAAAGGTCTAAGAGTCATCCATGTAGAGGCAATATTGGAAGCCATTAAGAGTGGATTGATTATCTACATAATTGAGGATCTGAGGAAATTAGGGAAATCTGAAGATCAAGGATCAAGCATTCAGGGCCCCTGCAATCATAGCAAATAGAATATGAGAAGTCAGTGAATAAATGAAAGGAGACACCATCAGAAAAGGTAGAAGTGGCCCCGGGACCATGTTCTATCATAGAAATGAAGAGGATAAATTCTTTCAAGAAGAGAGATGTATCCTTTGATGTTACAAAGCGTGAAGAAATAAAAAAGAATAAAGTATGTGGGGAGGTGGGGATGGGTCTTGGACTTGCTAAGTGAAAATGTTAACTGAAAAAGAAAGTATTTTTTCTATAAAACAGATGATCTTTTACATTCATTTAAGTGAGGATTTCTCCACCTCACCACTATTGATATTTTGGGCTGGATAATTCTTTGTATGAGAAGCTGTCCTGTGCATTGTAGGATGTTTAACAGCATCCCTGGCCTCTACCCACTAGATGCCAGCAGTGACACCACCACCACCAGTTATGACAACCAAAAAATGTCTTCAGACAACGCCAAACATCCCTGGTTGAGAACCACTGATTTAAGTGTTTATTTAGCTCCCACTGTGTACGTGGTACTACATTAGGCACTGTAAGGCATAAAAATATGATACCCTTTCATCATTAAGAAGAATGCATTCTAATTGTCCTAAATTGAGTTATTCTATTTCTCCTATTGTGTTGCTTAAAATTATACACACACGTACATATATATATATATACATATACACATATATGTGGCAGTCCCCAAGTTAACATTTTGTCAATTTAATTATGGAATGAAATGAAGAAAGGTAGTAAATTGGAAATATTGCCGTTCCAGTGCTATGTCTTTGATCACAGATCAGTGTAGGAAATTAGGATTATGGATCCATGCCAAACTAGCAAGCAGTTTCCAAATTAAATTTTGTATATTTCAAAGATTCAAATTATTTTTTGCTTTCTCATCCCTTATGAAGATAAAATACTCTTCCTGATCCATAGGTATGTTATAGAACTTCTGATTTTTAAAAACATGTGACTGTACCATTTATCTTTTTTGGGGTTTTTTTTGGTAGAGAAAGATTCACCCTGAGCTAACATCTGTTGCCAGTCTTCCTCTTCTTTTTCTCTCTCTTCTCCCCAAAGCCCCAGTGCATGGTTGTATATCCTAGTTGTAAGTCCTTCTAGTTCTTCTTTGTGAGCCACCACCACAGCATGGCTGCTGACAGACAAGTGGTGTGGTTCCACAACCAGGAAATGAACCCAGGCCGCCAAGGTGGAGAGCGTGGAACTTTAACCACTAGACCATCAGAATTGGCTCTCTACCATTTATCTTTTGGTCATAATTTTGGTGCAGTATATTGAAAGTGTTCTACCAAGTTTCTAAGTTCTTAATGAAATAAAGACGGAGATTTTTTAGACTGTAATTTGACCTTAGAAGCATTTGTAGGAAGATTACCACAAAAATAATTTCATGACAAGAAGGGTCTTTAATATTTGGAATAGACTGTCCATCAAAAGAAGCAACCTATTTTCCTTCCAAACCTAGTTTCCTTGTTGCTTAGGAACAAGAAAGAAAATCTAATCTCCCTCTCCTGTTTTTGCTGCTTGTGACATTGAACAAGGCCCTGACTGTTGAGGCTGACGCTGAGACCCTTGTTTTCTTTGCAGACGGCATCATCTGCCATTAAAGGTGCTATTCAGCTGGGAATAGGATACACCGTGGGCAATCTCACCTCCAAGCCAGATCGAGATGTTCTCATGCAAGATTTTTATGTGGTGGAAAGTGTGTTCCTACCTAGGTAAGAACATTTTTATTTGTGATGGTTTTATTGTGACATCCTCGTATTGAAGACTTTTCTACCACTGTGTGTACATGTACTGATGTTCATGTTGGAGCCGGGGCAGGGCCAAAAGCGGTCCAAACCATTGTTACTTTCTGTTGCATCAGGTGGCTTGCGTTTTTTATATGGAGATAGTCAATAGGTTTCATCCTATGGGGGCCAGTTGTTATCAGTTGTGATAATGCCTGGAAGACCGTATGGAGAAGAGAAAGAATGCAGTAATCACAGAGTAACGTCTGCACAGGTTAAGAAAAAGAGGACACCTAAGAAGTAGCAGCTGGTGCCAGGTTTTCGCTACTCCTAATTTAAAAGATGGGGTGGGGGGCCCCCAGTTGGGCCTCATTTTTGAGTTCAGTCGTATAGCTCCTCTTTTGTGATGGCTTTAACTTAAATTTCCTCTAGAAAACTTTATGAGAATCTTGCTGTTTTGACACCATATTTGCAAAAACCCCAAAGTTACCCACACATATCATCTCTAACTTTATCGTATTTTGGGGAAAAAATCAATTCAACAAATAAATCTAGAGACATATGGTGGTGATGGTTGCACAACAATGTGAATGTACTTAATGCGACAGAACTGTACACTTAAAAATAGTTAAAATAGTAAGTTTTATATTATGTATATTTTACAACAATAAAAAAATTTAAAAGTCTATTACTACCTTACTATAGGAAGAGAAGTAATCATTGTTAAATTGGAAATGTCACCACTTCTGCCAGGATTTTTCAAAGAAAGTGGTCTAGCAAATAAAGGTATTCAATTTAGGGAGTTGAGGGGAAATATTTTGTCTTTGGGCTATGAAGATTGACTTACAAGACACATTTATATTTAAAATAAATATTTCTCTCCCAAATAAGCCATTTTTGTTACCATTAATTACTGAGCTTGGATGAGAATGGCTATGGTGACAGATTTACCCTCAGTGTCTTCATTGCTTTATTAAAAAAAAAAAATCTTCAGAGAAATGATACATTTATCTCTATGTCCATGTGCCAACTACCTAGAAATAAAATCTTAGGTGAGTGTGGCCATATAATCACAAAGGAGCCCAAATATATAGAAAAAAGTCAGCTATGAACCCAGATAGCCTAGTTTTGCTTTAAATGCTCTTGGCTGAAAAGTGAAGTTGATCTATCAGAAGTTTTGAAATTGGCTTCTCTGGGGCCCTCTAGTAGCCACCAGAATGAGTTTCCAAACAGAAAAAGGACAACCCCAAGGCCTAGGATATAATCCTGTTTGCTCGTGGCACTGTTCTCCTTTCTATAGTTGGAAATTGTCCTGTATATATGTTTGTTTTTAGCAGTCTATCATTCCAAAAAAGTGTGATTGACTACATTTTTCTCTTAAAGTCAGGAGGTCACGAGTTTATCTTAATGTTTCGGTATGATCTGTTAGGTTCATAATTCCGGTAAATGTGCTTGCAGGATGTTGTAGCTTTCATGGTCTTCTAGGGGCTCTACTTAGACGTTTCAACCTTATTTTTACTTTGGCTACAAAGAACAAGAGGAATAGAGGTCTTTTGTGGGAGGGGGCCTGGCAGTGGGTTCAGACACTGGGAGCAGTTACAACTGAAGATGAGTGTATAAAGAAGAGCAGGGTGCTCCATCCTTGCCGATTTCTTCTACTCGCATTGTCCAGTCAACAGAGCTAACCACTGATGGGCACTGGGGGAAAGCATGGCCCAAACATATGGTCCCCAGACCCACAGCATCAGCATCACCTGGAACTTGTTAGAAATGCAGATCTATGGGCCCCACCCCAGATCAACTGAATCAGACACTCTGGGGGTGGGCCCCAGGAATCTGTTTTAACAAGCCTTCTGGGTGATTCTCAGCACATAAAACTGAGAACCACTGGCCTAGCACCTGACTTTCCATTTTAGACTGACAATCTTTCCAGTGGATACCAAATTTTGTTCTTGGAGTTATTACATGATTCTTGCAACTAATAAAACTCCAAATGGTTTTTAAATTAATTTTATTTTGATATTTAAGATATCTGTTTAGCAACTAAAGTATACATGACACTGTACGAGATACTTTACAACATAGAATGCGTAACTAAGGTCCTCATAAGCACTTTTAGGCACTTTCTCAGTGCCGTGAATCCTTTTTTCATGGACTATTTATGATAAGCATACTGCATCTTTATCATGAAGACAAAATGAGATCTTTTTTCACCTTTTTCTTCAGGAGCAGGAAGGTAAAGTTGTAAATATCTGGAATTTGTGTCTTTGACCTTCACTCTACCCCAAGGTGGTAGCAGCAGCAGCAGCGGAATGGGATGGGGACCAGCTAGCTAACGTACCCTATTCAGAGGAATGCACTGTCACATTTAAACTATATCATCTTAGGGTATTTATAGCTTTTAAATGTCATAGGACATTAAACATTTGATTCAGACCAAGAATTTCTTTCAGCAAATACTATATTTTTTGTTTAAATAACATATGTTCTCCATATGTATTTACATAAAAACAGAGGAAACTTATGTGGGTCTTGCCTCAGTTTCCTCATCTGGGCTAAGTTTCTTCAGTGGTTGAGCAAAGGGATTGGGCCCAGTGTTTCTCAATGGAGGTGCTATTGGCTTTTTTTGGATGAGACAACTCCATGTATAGCACTGCATGGTTCAGAATATTTATGAGCCCCAGGCCATGCCAGTAGTACTGTTGAAAGTGATAGATAAATTCAATATCTTGATTGTGGTGATGGTTTCATGGGTATATATACATGTGGAAATTAACAAACTGTACTCTTTATTGTATGTCAGTTATACCTCAATAAATCTGTCAAATAATTCTCCCTCCCTATCCGCCCATTCTTCTAAACCTGCCTGGGGGTGAGAGTAGGGGACGAGGGCAGGGCTGGCCCTGGTTGTAGGCAACTAGAACATTCTAAAGTCTTTGGTGGCTCTAAAATTCAATGAATCTATCTGGGTCATAGAACAATTGCTTAGGCTGCCTGGAGATGTTTTACTTTACTACTGCTGTGAAGCTGCAGAGTCTATTTCCCTTAGCAACAAAATGCATTGTGTTATGTTGTATTTATTTATTTTAAAGTGGCTCAAAGTTATTTTTAGATATTATGTATTTGTTCTATGGATTATTTCATTTTGTGGATGGAAAAAGCTCTGGACTTGTTTAAGATTTGAAGGATGATATAAAATTCCTTCCACCGATCTGGCTCCATGATCTTCCAGAAACACAAAAAGAGAACCATGACCATACCTTAATCATTTCACCCCAAATTCTCTGCTGCAATCATAAACTCAAGGTTGTAGATAAATTTTCATGTATAAATGAGATTAGGAAGAAAGAGGATGTTTTATAATGTTTGTACCATGTAAACAAGAACCTGACGTGGCAAAGGGAGACCAAATTCATAAGTACCAACTATGAACCAAGCATAGTTTTACTGATACAAATTTATATGATATATAATAAATTATTACCTTTCATCTTTATAAGAAAATTTGCATATGAAGTAACTAAGGCCCTGAGATATTAATTGGCTTAACCCAAAGCTATAGAACCAATAAATGGTAAAGCCAGACTTGAACTCAGAGTTGACTGGCTCCAAAGTTTTGTTTTTCCCTACAGTATAGTGATAAAGCACAGGAACAGTATTTCTGCTTTTTTGAATCAGAAGAAGTGTCCAGCTATTACTTTATAATTATAAACATAAATCTTCCTCTCTGGTCCCTTGACAACCAGCTCTCATCCTTTCCTCTGCTCCCCTCCAGGAGACACCATCACTGCCTTCTCTGGGATGGAAACTATGGTTTGAAAGCTGGCAGTAAAAGTTTATATGTCTTTCCATAACCAAGAATAATTATCTAACTGAAGAATTTATGAAAGCCGCCTGCATTTTAATCTCCTCACTTATAAAATCAAGCTAAGCTTGGTGTGAGGATCATTGCAGAAAACAGCCCTTAGACGAGACAGATGTGTTCTTTGGGATTTATTTGAATTGCCAGGGAATGCCCTCATTAGGGGAGAGAATTCCACAGAATTGCTGTAAGGGTAAAACATGATTCTAAATGACAAGCAAACAAATCTATCAAATGTTCATGTCAGCCTTCCCAGATATCAGCACTAAATGTTAGGTTTTGCCAGACAAGCCATCTACCTGCATTTCAAGTGACATGAACTCATCCAAGAATCTGTCTGTACTGTGAATCAGCACACTGCAGCCTCTTGGACAAATCCAGCTCCCTACCTCTTTTTGTAAATCAAGTTTAATTGTAAAACAGCCATGTCCATTCATTTACGTGTTGTCTGTGGCTGCTTTTCCTGTATAACAGCAGAGTATAGTAGTTGCAACAGACACTCTAAAAAGATTGCCCACCCTTGATCTATACAGACATTCTGTGCTAGGTTTTATGTATACGTGGGTAGAACTCAAAGCTGCCAGAATATTCTTCTCAGGGTTAAATGAGATATGTGGCTGTTGTTGGGCAAGCCAATGATATGATGCCCCTTCAAGTCAAAATTCTTTAAATATGTGTTCAACATTTATGTGGTGGGCATGGGAAGAAACTGATTTCTCTTAATAAAAGTCACATACCCCTTCCTTTAGTTCAAAATAAAAGATGTATTACACACAGTGAATATTATATAACATTTTGACTTACTTGAAATTGCCTTCAAAACACAATTTCCAAGTGTAGAAATAACTACTTGGTAGGTTTAACATTTAGATAATCGATGATGTCACATGTTCCCAGTAAATGACACCCCAGAATGCATTCTTTGGTTTTCAAATTTAATCTTCCACTGACTTTTAAAGACTGGCTGTCAGCTGGTTGGCCTCAAAAGATGGCTCAGCCTCCTGTTGCACAAGGCATCTCATATGTACCCGTCGCAAAAGTGCTCAGTGGAGGGAGGTTGGCACCAGCAAGGAGTGTGTCTTTTGTTCTGTTTTCCTTTGAAGACCACTATCTAATTTGGCAAGAG